CTCTAACATTGGAGTTTTCTTTACTACGCCACAGCTCAGAAACGAAACCAATTTGCTCTTTTTCTTTCTTAAACCTTCCTCCCAGAGAAACTGGCTTCTCATAAACTTATAAAGTCAGGACTTAAGAACTCTAAATAACTCTACATAATTTAACCTAAGTGGCTCTGTATTTGGTTACAAGGCGATTAATCACCCCCTCATAAGACTTTAAGTGCGGACTAGCTAATAAATATCTGGGGAATCTGAGTATTTAACGTGCTGACTGTTACGGCAGTGGAAGGAGGGGGAGAATCATCATCGGAACTCACGATGGATTATTTTAAGGGACTCCTTCAAGAATGTCAGCTTAACATAATTAATCATTTTAAGATGCAAATTGACGACATCAGAATGGACTTGGAAATGACTTTTTCTGCTCTGCAAGAAAAGATCGACAGCAAGGATAAACAACTTAACCAGATCTTTAATGAACAGCCTTTAATGTCGGAGAGGGAAATCACCTTACAGCAGGACAGAACCATCATGGAATAGCTGCCGTTAGAGAAACCAGAGTCAGAGAGAAGAAAAACGTTCCTTTTTTTTCAAAAGATGCCTAAAAAAGATGAAAGGGGGGCGTGGAAGGGAGAATGTATATCAAGACTGTTCCTGAAAGAAAGAATTTAAAAGGGGAGAAATGGGCAAAGCTCCGGCCAGAAATTTACAACCAGGGATCATATACTATGTTGCTCCAAAAGCAAACCACTGATTATATTGGGGTGAAATTAGTCAACCGCGTTGAAAATGTTTTAAAGAAATATTATAGATGGCATTTCAAAACTGGAAAATACTCTGTTTGTGAGACACATAATGTTAAGACATTAAATATGTGTGATTATAGCAGTGACAATGTTGACAAGATTAGAGAGGCCAAACCCAGTTTGATGACACTGGAGATGATAAATAAAAATTAGAAAAGAGGAAGTTACTTGCTGAACAAATAATGGAAATCAGTTGATTTAAGATATATAAGCAAATTCGGCCAGACATGAAATTTAAGGCTAGACAATGATGAATAATAATATTAGATGTTTTCTTTCAAGGCACGTATATGGAAATATTAAATATGTGTGAACTATAAGAGTGTTTATGCTCACAAGATTAAATACACAGTCTTCTGTATATAAGAATGGAGATCATCAAGGAATGAACAGGCCTGTGTGGATATTATGATAGATAAGTAATTTTTAAGAGGAAATGATAAATGTTTATGATGAAAGTTAGATGGATGGAAATGCAGATGAGGGAATTTACAATATCTTTTTTATAAATTTAGGATGTTTAGATACTTAATTAGATACACAAAAAAGGGATGTGGAATATAGCATGTGCAGATGCACACGGATATATTATTCCTGTAGTCAGAAGTTATATAATAGATAAGCTGGTATGGGAAATACCTCCCC